TGGGGATAAGGCGGGGGTGCCGGCGGCAGCGCCCAGAGCCCGCCCCCAGCCTGCACCCCTCCTGGCGCCCCTTCTCTTTCCTGCCCCCCGGCGTCCCCTGGGGCGGCCCTCACCTGCCCCCCCCCAGCACGACCTCTTGGGCACGTCCCGGTGCTGAGAGCCCCGCACCCCCACCCCCCAATCTGCCTCCCGGGCCCTGGGCACATGGAGAAACTGAGGCACAGAAAGGCATGTAATGGTTCCTGGTTCAGGCCTCTCATTGGCAGCCCAATGCGGCCTCCTCGCCATCCCCACCTCCTCCCGTGGGGCCGCTCTGGAAGGTCGGCAGCATCTCGACTTGCTAACTCTACAAACATGCGCACGCGTCCACTGGGCCAGGCAGTACCGACCTCGCCGGAGGGTGGGGGCGCCGAGGTCAGATGCAGGGCAAGGGTCCTTGGGGGTGGCGGCTCCGTGCTGACACGGACCCAGACTAGGAAAACCCCCAGGCTGCTCAGGAAAGCCAGAGAGGGCTTTACCTCCCCTGCACCGCCCCCTGCCCACCATACAGACACACAAGCCCAAACTATGTGTTCCTCCTCACCCCGCCCCACATCCGCCCCATTTGGCACCATGCACACTTGGTATAATACACAAAATTTTATCCCCCCCATAATCATTATAGCTAATTTTCTTTACCATTCACTAAGTGCCAAGCACTTCATAAATGTTACCTCATTCACAACATCCCCATGAGCTTGAACCCCTTCTGAGCATTCCCATCCCCATTTAACTGACAAGCAACTGAGGGTCAGAGAAGTTCTATCACTTATCCAAGGCCACACAGGTTCTGGGACTCCATGTGTCTCCCGATCAGAATTCCCATCCCAGCATGCACAGGTAGTGCCAATCCTGGTTTCTGAGTTGTGACTAGTCAGTATGAGGGTACTTCACAAATTTCATGGAAAAATAGAATTAGAAGATAAAGGGCCAGCCTGTGGCTCACTTGGGAAAGTGTAGTGCTGATAGCACCAAGGCCACGGGTTCGGATCCCTATATAGGGATGGCTGGTTAGCTCACCCGGGAGAGCATGGTGCTTAAGACACCAAGTCAAGGGTTAAGATCCCCTTACTGGTCATCTTTAAAAAAAAAAAAAAAAGAAGATAATACAAATCTTTCCATGAACATTTTGAAGACCCCCCACTGTCTCAACTAACAGTGGTTCGACTTATGATTTTTTTTGGTTTTACAATGGATTTATGCCAGTATTAAATGCATTTTCCACTCATGATAGTTTTTACTTACAATGCGTGTTTGTCTGGACACAGCCCCATCTTAAGTCAAGTAGCATTTGTAATTATTAACACTGATCATATGCTTGGTACATACCAGGCATTTGTGCTAAGCACTTCAAATGAATAAACTCACTTAATTCTCACAACAAGGGGGGAGACCGAGGCACAGAAAGGTTACTTGCTTAAGGTCACACAGCCAATAAACAGAGAGGCAGGATTCTACCCAGGCACTATGACTGGGTAGACCACTATGCCATAAAGCCTTACATGCTCATTGGTCAGCAGGTCCCCTATCCTTATTTCTTTAAAGCCTGGATCTAAAATACAGGAACAAATTGATGAGTTTTGTTCCACCTGCACAATGTTTCAGGTGGGGCAAGCCCCTGGAGTTCAGCTGACAACAACACCTACTTTTCAGTTTCTACTTGGCTCCTGAAGGTATTTGAGTTTGTGGCCCCTTTGAAGTTTAAGGTCATGTCTTGTACATTGTGGATGCATATAGGTGTTCTTGTTTCCCAGACCAAAGGAGGCAAATGTTACACGTACAGACATGCACCAGGACGTGCGCTGAGAGGGTACATGTGTGTCCATACTAGTTCCAGCCAGAGGACCCTAAACACCCACAGGCACTTTCCCTGTCCACCCCCAAACACACCCACTCGCAGATGGGGGACCTGAGTGGGGAGAGGGGGTAACTTGAGCCCCTGTTCCCCAGGAGAATCCGAGGGGCTGGCACATTCCGTAGCAAAAATAACCAATGGGCAGCGGGCGTGAGTGATGGGACAGCTGGGCCGAGGAGGGGCCGGCAGGATTCTGTGTTCCTGCCCTGGGCCTGTGCTGCTCACCCTTGGCTGGCTTGGGGCATGCTCTCAGGGTGGGCCTCCCCTGCTGGCCCTACATTGCCCAATTTTCCCTCATGGCTGGGCAGCTGTGCCCCCTGCCACTTCCCCAAACCCAGACTTCCAATTTCTGCACTGCTGGCATTTGCCCTGAACCAGAGAAAGTCCAAGTCCTCATGCTATGCCTGATCTTTCAGGCAGACCATCCTCAGAACCACTTGCACCTACTCCCCTCCCCTTTGCCTCCTCTCTTACCTCCCTCCCCTGCTTACTAGCCTGCTCTCTATTTCTGACAACCTATATAATTTACTTATTTACTATGTTTGTTGCATATTGTCTGTCTCCCCTCACCAGAAAGTAATCTCCAGGCAGACACGAATTTTGGTCTTTTTTCCCCAATTCATGTATCCCAAGTTCCTAGAACAGTAACTGGCACATGGAAGGTATTCAATAAATAAGGGGGTTGAGGGGCACAGAGCTGTGGGTGGGATGAGGAGTGAGGATGGTACAGTATATCTTCCCAGAACAGCTCCATTTATCCAGCCTTCCCCCTCCCCTGTCCTGATCAGACCCTTTCCCAAGAAACAGCTGAAGAAGGGACCATCTCCCATTCCACCAGGATCTTCCTGAGAGGACCTGCCCTGATTCAGGAAAGTGTCTCCTGCATGCCTTTGGCTGACTTCAGGGTGGGGGACTCTCTCTCAGGGCTCCACAATGCTCCCATTCTGTTCCCTCCTCCTCTCCCTGATTGGCACTTGTCATGAATAGATGGTGACCCTGTCTATACTTATTCCCAGCTCCACACTAGTTTTCTCCTGGTTTTTTAATCCAGATATTCCAAATTCCAGGTGAGAAAGATGATAAATGCAGAAGATTCCTCAGTGCAGGTTCTAGTGCATTCCCCACCTTCTCCTAGCCTGAATTGGCTCTCTCTCCCTATCCCTAACTTCTCCTCAATACCTTCAAGTCCTCTGGATGGTTCACTACCATCTATTGACCTCTGGCCCTTCTGATTGACACCAGAATCTTCCAGACGCTGGCTATGAAATTCCAATTAATACACATGGTGACATGGTCAGATTGCCCCTCCTCTCGGCTGCACCCTCCCCTCCTTACCCTCTAGCCTTTCATGCAGGCCTCCCCCCAGCCACACATGCCTGAGCTTTGAGGGTAGCATTTGCTCTGGTCACTTGATTTGCATGTAGCTCAGCCTGTGTAGGTGGGAGCCTAGTGTTTTGAAAGAGAAGAATGCCTACCTTGGAGATTAGGCCAGAAGATGGAGCTGGTGATACTGACAGGAAAAAGATGGTTATGATGACACATCCTTGACTTAGTCTTCCTACACTTCTCTTTCTGTGGACAGGCAATGTGGACCCAGACTCAGAAATGCAGCTTTCAGACCCAGCTCTGCCATCTCACTAGCCATGTGACCTTGGGTAAGTTTCCCCTTTGAACCCCAGTTTTCTTATATGAATAGTGGTCATACTAGTAACTTGGGGGTTGGAAGATTAATTAAATGAAATAGGGTGATTACACATGTTATGGATTCTACAAGTACCCTGCATTTCTGTTATTTTCACCTCCTTTGTTTCCTATTCTATCCTCACTTTTACAATCCCAAATCCCACTACCACATATACCCCAGTTTCCCATTCTCCAAACTCTCCAGCCTGTAGCCCACTGGTCACCTCAGAGCCCCAACCTCCCAGAGCCATGCCAACATCCCTCCATTTTTGAGCTAACATCTCAGGCTTCAGGAGTGCCAGGAACCTTAGCATCACCCTGTCTGGCCAAGCCAGAGAACAATCCCAGCCAGGAAACTGCCTCCTTCACTCGGCAGCCAGGTCCTTCTTTGGCTTCCTCGAGTACCCTGAAGTCCTCCTGCTGTTGATTCCAACCTAGAAAGTTTCCCATGAGTGAGTCTGAGCAATGCTGAGCTGCTTGCCCAGCTACCCTGGACAAGGAGCTGTCACTGGGCGGGGGGGCCGGGGGGGCGCCTTGGGGTGGAGGTGGGAGTGGGCAATAGAAGGGTGAATAAGCCAGACTCACCCAGTCAGTCCCCCAACATCACCAAAGCAGAGACCCTCCCTCACCCAAGTCATGCAGGAGGGCATAATGGTTAAGCACATCATTGTCGGCAGTGGAACAGACTGAGGCTTCTACCTGTGCTGCCACCTTCTATCTGTGTAACCAGGACATGTCCTCAAATGTGACTTGCTGCAACCCAGTCTTCTTCCTGTTCTAACACGAATGTCAAAAGGCCCCAAATCCAGCCCTACAGCGCCTAGGGCCTTTTCCTCACCCCAAGCCTCTCCAGCCTGCTGTTCCACCAGTGCAACCAGCCTGGAGACTGTCACCCTGGCCTCTGTCTAGGTATGCCCAGCCACTGCCCAGCTCTGCTAACCATGCCTTACAGAGGCTTATAGAGGCGCTCAGTCCTGCTGGGGTGCTCTCACACCTCATCACTCTCCCCACCTTGAGGGACCAGGGCAGGCCAGGAGGCTCCCATCTTTAGAAATGCCAGGCCTGGACCAAACACTGGACAACTCTCCCTCCCTCCCTCTCTCTCTCTTTCCTCCTTCCAGAACTTCTTGAGTAGTAAAAAGCCCCCAAAACCAGGAGGACTGGTCTCTCAGCTCTGGGATGGCCATCACTAGCTATATGTCTTAGGCAGATCTCCCTCCCCTCTGGTCCACAATGTCCTCACATGTAAAAGCAAGCATTTGGAGCTTCAGGGCTCTGTGGCCCTTTCCAACTTTAAACAAACATTATGACCACTACTCTCCTTCTCAACCCTTCCTTTCCCTTCCCTAAAATCTCTCTCCTCTTAGTTGTATTCTCATCAATTTATGTATATTGCCCTTTGATTTATGTCCTGTTTTCAGTCCCCGAGGCCCCTGAGGAGACCACAACTAAGATCACCAAGGAGTCCACTCCTTCCCCAACTCAGAACTCTGCCAGGATGAGCCCTACCCTGACACCAGGCTCAGAAAGCCTGTACATGGCCAGGTGTTAGGCCAACCAGGAGAAGCCAGCCTTGGCCCTCTCAGGCCCAGGTCCGGACACAGGACCACTAGGAACCAATCGTTGGAGACTCTAAGAGGGTGGGCAGGGTAGGGCTGGGAGAGAAGAGGTGCTGACCGAGGGAGGCTAGCCCTGCTCCACCTCCTGAGTCGGCTGCATCCCAGAGCCTCCCCTCCCTCCAGCTGCGAGGTCCTTCATCCCTTTGCCTCCTCCCCAGCCCCCAAGGATTTAGCCCTACAGGACACCACCCAGCTGGAGTGAGAAGTCCCTCTTGAAAATGCCCAGGACAATGACCCCCAAGCTCTTTGCCATCTCCTTCAACTGCATCCTACTTCCTCAGAATTCTGTTTCTCAAGGCTCGGACTGCATGAGGCTGTGTTTGACCTAGGAAAGAACGATTTGGCTAACTCAGGGACTGGGGAAATCAAAAAGGAAGCCCAAAACTGACCCAAGGAGAATCAGCCCTGGTATTCATACCAGCCCCAGCAGGTCCATGAGCACAGGGCCCAGGCTCCTGCCCTTCCCCTTCTGCCCTAGCTCATCAGCCATACCTTCACACACCAGCCTGGAAATCTACCCCCACATGGAGCACCCTCCTTCTGTGCCCTACCTCTGGAACCTCAGGTAAACATGGTCCATGGGATTTCCATACCAAGTCCACATACCCCTGCCCGTCATGTTTATACCACCACACTGAGTCCAGAGCCCTCCGCAGCTGCTCAAGCACGTAAGGCCGTTCATGCCCATGGGGCCCTAGCCCTAGCTTCACCTCCTGATGCCATGGACCCTGTTCATATGTGTCCACCAGCTAGCCTCTTCCACCCTGACTCCTGTGACCACACCAACCCTGCCTTAGCAATGGCCTGTGGGGAGCTCTGGTCCGTCCCCTCAACAGAGCAGTCTGGACCAGGGGAGCTGGCCCCCTCCTTCAGACATGAATGCACCTGTAAGGGACTGATCAGAAGGGTCTCAAGTCTAAATTACTGGTGCTTCTCCCTGCAGAACTAGAGGGGCTTCCACCACGGAATTCCCAACAGGTGTGACTGAGTGGGGCTCAGGCTGGGCTTACCAACTGCTGACCCTTGACCTCTGCCCTTCCTGTGGGAGCCTCTCTACCTCCACACCCCTTTCCTCACTTTCCTCTGGGCCAGCGCGGCCGGAAGCCAGGGCACCTGGGAGGAAGGCGGAGGCCTCGGTCCCCCCACCACGTGGCCTGGGCAGCCCGGCTCCGCCTTGGAGCACCCCGCCCGGCCAGGCGGCCCACCTGCCATTACCTCCGACTTCCAGCACCGTGACGACCGCCTCGCAGGAGGCCCGGCCCCGCTCGTTCTGGGCCCTGCAGCTGTACGCGCCGGCGTCCCGCGCCCCGCAGCTCCGCAGCCACAGGCAGCCGGGCTCCGGGGCC